CAGTGGTGAGCAGTGTTCATGGCTCACAGTGCCCCCAGTGGTGAGCATTGGGCTGCCTACCTTGCTAATTAGTTTTGTTGCTATTGCAGACTTTCAGCATCCACAGTATTCTATTTTTTGTTTAGGGTGTGTGCTGGTGACAGATCTAATCTAGATCAGTTATTACTTCAGTTTCCTCTGGGCGATCATTGTTCAACATCCTTTGCTTTACCTGGAAGTTAGAAACTAACAAATTCTTCCCTGTTTTCCCACTGCAGAGACCTGAGGAGAGGCCTTCGTTTTTTGACCTTCGGAATGAATTAAGTGAGCTGTCTGAGTCTGGAGAACTCTGAATGGAGTCATGGAGACTGTACAGCTTTAAAACTGAATAACCCGATGGGAACAAGAGAATATTTTCAATGTGGTGTACTGTTTATTAAATATTTATTTATTACTGTTGGAAATCATATTTGATGCTTGCAGAGAACACACCCCCATGATACTAGAACTCTCAGGCAATCTCCGTCAAGGTGAGGTGGCCTCAGCTCTTCGACTATAGGGGCGCCACAGCTGCACCCAATCCCGTCGTCACTGGTTATTGAAGAAGCAGGAGCGTTACTTTGGCCTCCATTTCTACTCCCCACTACCCCCACCTAGAGGTCAGCCACCGTAATACAACTGTAGCCTTGGCTGAATTCAGAGGAGCACCATCACAGTATAACGTTTGGAGAAATGGACACTGGTGCAGGTTGTCTCGACTATGACCCCTTCAGACACCATCTGCGTGTCTCCGGCTATAACCTTGCCATCAATGCCTGTATCTTCCCAATCAGTGCAAGTTTGCTGAGGGACCAATTTGAAACAGAGAGATGCTGCAACTAGACACGGATGCTTCCCTGGGAGTGATTGATCCTGCAGTAACATCATCACATCCCAGTAAATGTGCTGCCTGACACATTTTAATCAGACAGGGGAGCCTCAAGTTCTTTTAAGGGTAGGAGCAGGCAATCAGACAAAATTGACCTGCTCCCTTTAACAAGACCAAGCCCACACTTACACACCACCTCCCTTTATCCTCGAACCCCTTCTATCATCTGTCCTCCACATCCTGCAATCCCCAGATCCTGCCCATCTATCCACCTTCTCATCAGATCCCTTAACCCCATCCATCCACCAATTTTCCACATCCGTCACTCCTACCCACTTTTCCTCCATATCCCTCAACCCCATCTATCTATTTTCTCCTCATATCCATCAAACCTATCCACTTTTCCCCCCATATTCCTCAGCCCCACTCACCTATTTTCTCCCTGTATCTCTTAAACTTGCCCACGTTTCCTCCACATCCCTGAATCCCACCTCCCCACCTTCTCATCAATCAAGATCTATTGATCTCAGGAGTGAGTGACTTGGGCCTGAGTAATCAGAAGGATGATGCCTGTACTTAGAAAGCGACAATGACATTTCTGAAATGATTGTCCAATGTTGCCATTGTACTGTCATGGCAGTGACATAGCGGTGAGTGGGATTTCCCACAATCTCTGTGGCCAATTTGTCATGTCCCCTTGTTATGAACTCCTTCCACAAAAAGAAATGGCTTCTATCAGGCTGCTTAATCAAATGCCACACTTAGATCATTCATCAAACTTTTAAACCCATCGCAATCAGATTCAAAGTAAAAAGGACAGGAATGAGGCCATTCAGCCCTCACGTCTGTTCCACTATTCAGCGGTTGATCTGAATGCTGACTCCATCCTGTTGTCTTGGCTTCCTATCCCTTCGGTACAACTACACAACAGAAACCTCAGTCCTAAAATCTCCAACTTATTGGCAATCTCAAAAAGCTTTTGGGGGAGAGAGTTCCCAATTCAGGTGTGAAAATAAAATACCATTTTGTAAAGTGCTCTTTTTATGAAATAAAGGAATACACAGATGCTGAATGAATTAATTTGTAGCCACCCAAAATAAAAATGATTGCTTGTGAAAATATAAATAAATGAATAAACGTGAACCTTGCCTTTTCACAGGATGTGGGCATCATTACCAATGCCAACATTTACTGCCCATTTCTAATGCCCTTAGACTGAATGAATGACAGTTTCAGATGGAATACAGTACTTGAAATCGGGCAAAATAAGATAATGTTACTGTAGTGATTAGAACCAGGTGGATCCATTGACTATGAGATCCTTGATTGGCGTTATTAACCTGGGCCAATCAGGGAGCCCTGGCTGACCAATATAAACAGGGGATTTAGAATCTCCTCAGTTCAGGTGACTGACTCAGAGCTAGCTGGTCACAGCTAGTGTACTGTGCACAAGTAAATAAATGGTGACTTGGTGCTGGGATACCGGCCCCTGTGCTGTTATTTCAGTTACAGAGGTGGTATTAATGATGACTTTACAATACATAGAAAACAGGAGCAGGAGTAGGCCATTCAGCCGTTCGAGCCTGCTCAACTCAGTCCCCCTGTCCCCACTTTCTCCCCACATCCCTTGATCCCTTTAGCCCGAAGAACAATACCTAACTCATTCTTGAAAACATTGGTAATATTCAATGGTTTGGCCTCAATCGCTTTCTGTGGCGGAAAATTCCACAGGTTCATCACTCTCTGAAGACATTTCTCTTCATCTAAGTCCTAAATTGCCTACACTGTATCCTTAGAATGTGACCCCTTGTTCTGGACTCTCCAATCATCAGGGACATCCATGCTGCATTTATCCTATCTAGTCCTGTTAGAATTTTTTTATTCACTTGTGGGACATGGGGAATGCTGGCTAGCCAGCATTTATTGTCCATTCCGAGCATTTATGGGTGTCTATGACATCCCCTCCTCCCCATTCTTCGAAAGTCCAATGAGTATAATCCTAACCGATCCGGTGCCTCTCCATATGTTGGTCCTGCCATCCCAGGAATCGGTCTGGTTAACCTTTGTTGCACTCTCCCCATAGCCATCTTGTGGTTTAAGTCAATACTGGAACCTGCACATTGAGATCCCTGTTGTCTGGAGTATCTTGGACTCTGGGTGTCTGCACATACACTGTCCTAGATGCTGCTCCCTTCTTATCCCTGTGGGTGGCATGGTGTCTCAGTGGTTAGCACTGCTGCCTAACAGGGTCAGGGACCTGGGGTTTGATTCTGACCTTGGGCAGGTACCTATGGGGAATTTACATATTCTCCCCGTGTCTGTGTGGGTTTCCTCCCATAGTTCAAAGACGTGCAGGTTAGGTGGATTGGCCATGCTAAACTGAGTTCACATTTAGAGTCTAATAACCCCTTCTCAGTGGCACTCTGGTCAACTCTTGCCCCTATATTCCTTGTTTCTACTTTCTAGCTGTTAGCAGAGACTCCATTGGTTGAGGTGTCATGTAAGCTGAATGCATGGCAGCCACAGTCTCAAGAACATGCTCTATGGCAAGCTCAGTATCAACAAGAGACACACGTTACCCTTTGTTTTTATTCATTCACAGGATATGGACATCGGGGCCTGCACCAGCATTCATTGCCCATCCCTTGTTGACAGTAAAGCACATCACTGTGGGTCTCGAGTCACATGTAGGCCAGACATTAATGTCTTAAAGGACATTAGTTAACCAGGTGGGTTTTTTCTGCCCGTCAACAATGGTCACCATTAGACTCTTAATTCAATTGAAGGGGAGACGATGGCATGTGATATTATCACTAGACTATTAACCCAGAAACTCGGCTAATTTTCTGGGGATGTGGCTACAAACCTCACTATGGTGGAATTGGAATTAAATAATAATCTGGAATTAGGAATCTACTGATGACCATGAAGTCATTGCCGATTGTCAGAAAAACCATCTGGTTCACTAATGTACTTCAGGGAAGGAAATCTGCCATTCTCACCTAGGTGACTCCAGACACACAGCAATGTGGTTGCCTCTCAACTGCCCTCTGAAATGGCCTAGTGAGCCACTCAGTTCAAAGGTAACTAGGAATGGCAATAAATGCTGGCCAACCAGGGTCACCACGCATCATAGAACATAGATCTTAGAACAGTACAGCACATTACAGGCCCTTTGGCCCACAATGTTGTGTCGACCTATTATCCTACTAAGATCAAACTACCCTGCATACCCTACGTCATGAGTGAATTTTTTAAAAATCCAAAATCTACCATGATGGGACTTGACCCTAGGTCTGTAGGACATTATCTAGGCTTCTGGATTAATGGCCCGGCAATAATACCACTAAACCATCACTTCCTGATGCATTATGAGGATTTGCTGATGTGAGAACTCAAACTGATTGGGATTGGACTCAATCCAGAGGAAGCTCTTCTGGTTGGCTGGAGTGCCTGGAGACAAACGTCAGAAAAGGCATGGAAAAATACAGGACCACGAAGAAACAACCAGCTGGAAAAGAGAGCCCAGCCTTTGGGAACAATATCAGCTGATCTTGGGTCAGTTCGTCTGTGCTGGCTATGGAGGACCTGCTCCTCACAAATCAGCCCCTACAGCCACAATATTCAACATAACAGTCACTTTCTGCCTCCCATTATCCAGTCCACTGCCTTCCAAGATGCTGCCATCACATGCCTGGAATGGTAAATGGCAGACACGAAGGCTGTAATGAGGCAAACAGCTAAAGTGAAAGAGAGTATTGGTTTAATATGACAAAGGCATCAATGATGGAAGTGAAGTTTGGGCTTGAGTAAATCATTAAGCAATAGCAGCAGAAATATTATCAGTAATAGGAGGTCAGAGGTTAGACAGCTTGGATTTTGAAAATAAGAGACGGTGATGCTGGAGTCAGAGATAACACAGTGTGGAGCTGGGGGAGCACAGCAGGCCAGGCAGCATCAGAGGAGCAGGAAAGTTAACGTTTCAGGTTGGGACCCTGCTCCTCTGATGCTGCCTGGCCTGCTGTGTTCCTCCGGCTCCATACTGTGCTATCTCTGACTCCAGCATCTGCAGTTCTTACTATCTTGGATTTTGAAAATGCAGGCATAGGTCATAGAATCCCTACAGTGTGGAAGCAGGCCACACCAACCACGCCCACCTACCCACCCCCACCCCCCGCGCCCCCAAACAGCATCCCACCCCTTCCTCATAACCCTGCATTTCCCAAATCTAAATAAAAGCCGAAAGAACTGCAGATGCTGTAAATCAGGAACAAAAGTTCAGCAGGTCTGGCAGCATCTGTGAAGGAGAAAACAGACTTAACGTTTCGGGTCTGGTGACCCTTCCTCAGAACTTTCCCAAAGCTATCCCACCTTGTCTGCACATCCCTGAAGTATTGGGCATTTTAGCATGGCCAAACCTGCACATCTTTGGACTGTGGGAGGAAACCAGAGCGAACCTACACAGACACAGGGAGAACATGCAAACTCCACACAGATAGTGACCCAAGGCAGGGACTGAGCCCTGGTCCCTAGTGCTGTGAGGAAGTAATGCTAACCACTGCGTCACATCTCAGAGTCAACCTAAAGCAGCTTGATTTCTATCACAGACACAAAAACAGAGGTTGCTGGAAAAGCTCAGCAGGTCTTCCAGCATCTGTGAAGAAAATATCAGAGATAATATTTTGGGTCCTGTGTCCCTTCCTCAACTTGATTTCTATGCTAGAAACAAAAGCAGAAGTTGCTGGAAAAACTCAGCAGGTCTGGAAGCATCTGTGATGAGAAATCAGAGTTAATGTTTCTATGCATTTACCCTTCCACAGAACTGACGGGTCACCAGACCTGAAACATTAACTCTGATTTCTCTTCACAGATACTGCCAGACTTGCTGAGCTTTTCCAGCAACTTCTGCTTTTGTCTCTGATACACAGCATCCGCAGTTCTTTCAGTTTTGAATCCTATGCCACCCAGGTTAGTCAGGGATTCAGATTTTTTCTTGTGAGGATAGGCAGTGGGAGGTTTGTCTGGGGTATGGAATGGAGATAATGGACAGAGAATGATACAAGACAATGTTTGAGGGAGCCTCTCACAAATGGAGTAGTCAGTGATGACCAAGTCAAAACAATGAGACCAAACTATTGAATATTATCAAGAAGTTAGGTATAGTTCCTAGGGCTAAACGGTTATGGGGAGGAACAGGGGACTGATCAGCCATGATTATTATTGAATGGTGGAGCAGGCTTGAAGGGCTGAATGGCCTACTCCTGCTCCTATTTTCAATGTGAATGGAGTTGTGAATGGAACTTGTACCCCACAACCATTGCCCCAGACAGTAGACTGCCGACCATTGACATTTTTCTCACTTTTAAATATGTAAATTCTGATTTGAAATAAAAATAACTTGGCTCATGACATAACTGGGAAAATTTGTGAACGCCCTTATGTCTTGAAATACCCTTGGCCCTGTAAACGAGGCGAGTCTCTGGGGGGTTTGCAGTAATTGGTGATTTGGTGGCTCTGTGTGACTGTTTGAGTTGTGGGTTTTTTTTTTCTGAGAGAAAACGCATCACTGGTGTTTCTGTCACTTTAAGGAACGATACTGCAGCCATTTTTTTGCTTTGTCTGTGTGTGTGTGTGTGTGCAGGAACCGGCAGCTTGTGTCAAACCTAACAGCATCTCTCAGCGCAGTTGCCTGCTCCTGTTTCCCTAGGATCCAGGTTACTGTGATCCTCGCTGAGCCAGCACTTTGTCCCATGCAGCCAGACGGTAAGTGAACTGATGCAAGCCATTTCTCTGCGAAGATTTAGAATGCACAGAAAATACCTGACCGCATTCTGAGGCTTCCCGGAGACAAATGAAACAGCAAAACGCTGGAGAAATTATACATACGGAGGGAGAATCCTTTTGTGGGTCGATTCATTAAATGTTGCGTTTAAGAGTTGATAAATGCACCCCCGGAAATTAATGTCTTTTATTTTGTAGTTATGACCGTCTATTTTTCTAACACCACACCATACCACAGGGCGGGGACTCTACACTGGTTCCGCAAAGCTCAGGCGCTCAGTTTGATGTGAAAGGGAATGTAATTTTATCCTGAAGTGCAGACAGGCTGAAGGTGTTCGTGTTTAATTTTTGCTTCGTATTTGTATGATGCCTC